TAGCGCCGTGTTGTGGCGGCCTGTCGCCATCAGTGTGTGAATGTTGTGTGTGAATGGCGTATCATCTCCTGTAAAGCGCTTTGGCCAGTGCCCAACAAGGATGTTGCAGGAAATTGTGTCATCAATGCAGGTGGTTGTTTTGGAGAGAGAGCACCACATCGCTGCTCAAAAAAAGGAGAGAAATGTGTGATACAGATCCATAAAAGCCTTCATAATACATCCATATTCAAATGTGGTGCTTGCCTTATTCTTTGGTTTGAGAGACTATGGGCACTGTCTGGAATCAGACCCATGTAATAGCTGAACACAAGTGTTCTGCTGGACACCTTGGAGACATATACAGACAGGTGTGAATGGCAGTGTGTCTCAGAGGGCTACTTGTGTTTGGATCACTGAGACACATTTTAAAACCAAGACTAAATGGGCTTTAGGTCACACAGAAGGGGAGGATGGCATGGGAGGACCTCCAGCAGTCTAGGCCTATTGCAGCATAACTAAGGGAGAGCTGAGCCAGCCCCAAATGGCCACAACAACATGAAAACATCAGCTCTGAGCATTAAGGCCAGTGATGTGGATGCAGCCTTTGACCTCCCCTACACATATTTTACTGATAAAGGTTAATAAAAAAAAGTTTCTTCCAAGATGTACAGTTCTCTTTGTATTTCTGTGCTGTCGGACACCGTGAGGGCTGACTGCTGCCCTCCATGAGAGAGCATAGAGGAAACGGAGAATGATGAGTCTGTCTCTCTGCAGAGCTCTCGGGTGGTGAGCTTCAGCCCAGCTCCAGAAGGGAAGGACAGCCAGTCGGATCTGATCAGCATTGTCAGACGCTTCGGCCCACCGCTCTACACCCTGTTCCTGCCGTCGATGGTGAGACAGTTCAGTCTGTTAAATAATAATTATGTTCACGCACACAACCAGTGATACAGCACGGTGGAAATGAACTGGTCATTTTTCAAATTTTATGGGAAAGCAGCCCAGTGTGATGCCCGTCTTTGTCGACATTTGTTTTTCAGGTGTTTGTAGAGATGCGACATGATCTTGATGCTCAGAAGCTGGTTGATTATTATTCTTCCAACACGCTGAGGATCAACAATATCATTATCAAAGTTTCCTTCTCAGGAGAATACAAGACCCTCACGTGAGTACCACGGACCTGATGGGAGGTTTATTAGCTGGTATTTAGGGATGGATTCTGGTCATTTTTGTTCCTGTGTCTGTTTTCTGCAGGCGGGTTGCGTCGGCTAAAAAGTATGAAGAGGAAACCTCTGCACCGAGGAGGAGAAGGAGCTTGAGCCAAGACAAAGACAAGACAACAGACTCAAAGAGGAAGAGGAGCAGCAGCAGCAAAGACCGAGAGCAGGACGGGAAGAAGGAAGGAGGAAGATCTGCCAGAGACAAGAGGAACAGGTCCAGATCCAGAGAAAAGTCCAATGGAGCGAGAGGTACCAGAGGCAGCTCCAGAGGCAAATCAAAAGAAAAGTCCAACAGAGACTGCAAGACTAGGTCCAGGTCTAAGTCTAAAGAAAAGTCCAACAGAGACCGCAAGACTAGGTCCAGGTCTAAGTCTAAAGAAAAGTCCAACAGAGACCGCAAGACTAGGTCCAGGTCCAAGTCTAAAGAAAAGTCCAACAGAGACCGCAAGACTAGGTCCAGGTCCAAGTCTAAAGAAAAGTCCAACAGAGACCGCAAGACTAGGTCCAGGTCCAAGTCTAAAGAAAAGTCCAACAGAGACCGCAAGGCTAGGTCCAGGTCCAAGTCTAAAGAAAAGTCCAACAGAGACCGCAAGGCTAGGTCCAGGTCTAAGTCTAAAGAAAAGTCCAACAGAGAGCAGAAAACCAGGTCCAGCTCCAGAGAGAAATCCAGCAGCAGGTCCTTGAAGCAGAACATGCCTGGAGAGAAGACGGTGAAAGCAGAGGAACTAGAGGAACCTGAGACAAAGGAGGAACCTGAGACAAAGGAGAACCTGAGACAAAGACGGTGAAAGCAGAGGAACTAGAGGAACCTGAGACAAAGGAGGAACCTGAGACAAAGGAGGAACCTGAGAATGCAGAGACAGTTGGTAAGAAAACAAACAACACGACAGAGCAGTAACTACAAAGGCAGTGAACTCCAGACTTGGTAAACATTCTGATTTGTGTTTCCCATCTTAAAACTATTTCTATTCATTTTTTTTCTGGCTTCCATGCAAATCAACATTGAGCTATAAAATGTTTGTGTGATTTAGTAACAGCCGTTTCCTGTATATAAAGTCCATGTGTGCACCTTAAGTGAACTAGTTTTTAACTTGTTCCTCTACTCATTTTTCATTGCTTATCAACAGTCAGCTTCATAATTATTTGGGCAAGGACAATCTTTTGCCTCTGTACATCACCACAGTGGATTTGAAACATAGCAGTCAGTAGAAGTGTAGACTTTCAGCTTTAATTTAAAGGGTTTAGGAATTACAGCCATTTGCCAGCTTTATACATAGTCCCGCATTTGGCTGAATCCAGGTATCTGGTACAGATCTATATACTTCAGAATTCATCCTGCTGTTTATGTCAGCAGTCACATCATCAACAAACACCAGTGATCCGGTTCCACTGGAAGCCACACATGTTCAGATAATAACACTGCCTCCACTGTGTGACAGGTGATGGCGCATGCCTTGGACCATGAGCCCTTCCTGTCTGTAATCCTTAATCTGGGTTTCACCTGTCCAGAGAATCTTGTTCCAGAACTGTGCAGGCTTGTGCAGATGTTTTATGTCTAATTTGGCCTTTCTGTTCCCGAGTGTTACCAGTGGTCCACACCTTGGGGGTAAATGCTCTGTATTTACATTCGTGAAGCCGCCTCCTGGCTGCAGACTCTGACAGTGGTACACCTACCTCCACCAGAGTGTTCCTGACTTGGGTAGATGTTGTGAAGGGGTTTTTCTTCAACATGGAAAGATTCCACCATCATCCGTTTTAGTTACCACATCTGACTGTGAAACTGTTTCAGTCAATCCTTCAGTCCGGTTTCGTTTGAGCCTGGGGGGGACTGTGTATAGAAATATTTTTGCTGTCAATTCAGCCTGTTTTCTTAAGTTCTCATCGATTATTATTCCAGTCAATAACATTTTTGCACTTGAGGCATGTCAGTATTTCCGAATGTGATCTTGATGAATTTTTACTATAAATATTCACCAACTTATTTGGCTTAAACATTCTGCATATGCAGATAAACCAGAATTAGCTTCTTTGATCAGTGACTGAAAGTTATGGTGAGGAAACAATAGAAATATGATTATGACCAGCAGACGATGAATTTAAATCAATAATATCATTAATTTCTTGTATGTTAGCTGCATCAAATATGGACATACTAGGAAAATGATCAAAAATTAAATCAAGTGGGATCTTGGAAGCTAAAGTAGGACCAGTATTTACAAAAAACGATTAAACTTTCTAGTTGTGTTCTTTGGATCTGAATTCCCACCATCAAGGAAAACTGAAGCTGTTTCAGTTGTTTTTTTTTTTTTTCTGCAAAATTTGTTAACACTCCATGTGGCTTTAACATCTTTTGAACAGTGTTTAAACCTTTTGCTAAACCGTTTCCTTTTTTGCTAATCTCAGAAGTTGAGTAAATTTAAATCTATATATTGATATATTTATACTTTATATGCCTAAATTCAAAGGGGTGGAATTCATCATATTTCTTTTATACTTGATTTTTTCACTCAAAGCCTTGAGTAGATAAAGAGTAAACCAAGGCTTTTGCAAATGCTCTAGTCTTGCCAAGCAAGCCAGTGGTGGTAGCCAGTGCCAAGCAGCAATTTGCTCAGTACTTCCCCCTGCAGTTGCCACATCAACGGTGACACCGTCTGATAGATGGATGTATAAGGTCTGACAACGCTATTTAGCAAGTTGCTGCCCAGAATGAGGAGAAAAAGACAACAAAACCCCCTAAGACAGGCCACATAAAGGTGAGATTTGTACTTTATTAGGATTGTTGTCAAACATTGTGGCCTACTTTTACAAGAGAAAAGACTTAACAGTCGCCAAGATGTGGCTGGTTTGCGTCTGGGTTGTTTACCCACCTTCAATAAAGTGCAAAGCACAGCCGTTTACCGCATCCATCCGAACAGGACAATAATGTGCTGGGAAAACATTTCAGTGAGGAATTATAAACAAGAGAAAGAATGAATAGTTGCACTGAACAGCCAACTGACAAAATTCTTAGTTGGGTACAGCCCTAATAAAAGCCCTGCTAAAGAGTTAGTCACTATATTGTCATTGATCTCTTCTTTACAGACTCTGAGTCAAGGACTGAAGAGTCCAGACCTGAAGGTGCAGAGAGACAGACTGAAAAGGAAACAGAGTGAGTGTCTCCTGTTAAATATTAATTAGCACTTTAAGATGCAACAGCGACCTGCTGCTGCTGGTTTTGACTGTGAGCCTGTAAATGTGGTCGCCTGCAGGGTGTCTGCAGAGGACAGTGACATCGAGGGGATGGAGGTGATTGGAGAGGATGGAGAGAACCTGGAGGAAGAAGACAGGGAAACTGTGGATTATCTTCAGGTGGATGCGAAGGAGAAGGAGGAGGAAGAGGAGGGAGCAATGGAAGAGGGAGCAATGGAAGAGGAAGCTGTTGAGGCAGAGAGAACAAACTCGCCTGAACAAGGTATAAACTGGGCCTCAGAGAAATTCATGCTGTAAAGAAAAGCTGCTAATGAAAACAGGAAACAAACGTGTGTTTTCAGATCAAGAGGAGGTGGTAAAGGAGGGAGAGAGTAATGATCAGGACACACCGGAGCTGGAGGAGGAGGAGAAGGAGGAGAAGGAGGAGGAGGAGAAGGAGGAGGAGGAGAAGGAGGAGGAGGAGGAGGAGGAGAGAGCATCCAACAGAGAAACTGAGGAGACAAACGAGATGCAGCTGGAGCACGACAAGGTAGACAGTTTAAACTCCCAGTGTACCCAGTTTACCTACTGTACTACTCAGACAGAAAATGTGTGTTAAATGGGATCTTCAATGTCAACTTTAAATGGCCATCAGATCTAAAATCCAGATCAAAGTGGGTCTGGTGGTAGATATTGCCACCCTACACGTCAAATCTTAAATGTTTTAAATAATGTTTGATGGAGATATGAATTTTTTTTTTCTTTTTTTACATTTTGCCCCATGTTAAAGATGGGATGTTTTTTGTGAGAGCTAAAATCTAATCACTACTAGGGATGGTCCCCACCAACGTCTCTAAGTATGCTGCTGATCCATCCAGCCATTTGTCCGTAATCCTGCTAACCTCTCCACAGGTCAAACTTTAAAGACAGAGACATGACAGGAAATTAAATGCACCCAAGGTCTTGGACTGGACTCAGATAATGAACGTTACATTTAGTAGTCATCACCTTAACCATGTGGCATCAGGACACCCCGATCTCATTCTGTTTTAACACAAGAACATTTTTTAAAGGACTAAAAATAATAACTTATCAGTTCATAAGAACTCAGACCTTCACATATAGAGTATAAATACAATTTTAAAAGGTGCCTGCCGTCCTGAGGCCATGTTCTTTGTTAACATAACCCACAGTTGGTAACATAACCAAAAGTGTTGGTCTGAATTAGACAATCCAAACGCTCAGTCGGTTGCCATCCCCTCAGGACGAGCAGTAAGGACTCTCATCAGGTCAGCATTTAGTTTGTGACAGTCTTTGGTTTATGCCCTAATACCTGCAGAACCCACACATCATCATAATATGATGAATTTAATAAATCAGAATATTCGACCCAGTTCCGACCTGCATGTATACAGTATAGGCAAAGTGTAACCCCGTGTAGTCTGTGTTCTGTGGGAGCACTGGTTGTGTTGGTATTTTAATATTCCTCCAGATAAACACCAGGTGCACAGTCGGTATGCGAACCGTGATGCTGGGGCTGTCTACCAGCATGTTTTGGCTTTATGTCCAAATTTGTCTTGGGTTAGTTTGACTCTTAGTGACTAGATCAAAGTCATGTCGTGTGTCAGGTACGTTTTCATCACCTGTACGTCTTTACTTTAAACCTGGTCAGTGAACAGAGACAAGGTGAAGTAATGACCAGTGTGTGCTGTGTTTTCACCTGCAGCAGGAACCAGATTTCCCAGTAGACCTGGAGAACTGCATCACTCTGGATGAACTGGAAGACCACCAGTCTGATGGACAAGGTACAGTGGAAAATCTTTGAAATGTCGGAAACAACTGTATAACCTGAATTCAAAGTGTTGAATACTGTTGAAACCAGTAATATTTAAAAGTGATGTATTCCCACCC